GCTGCTCGCAGTCTTCACCTTCTTCTTCCTGTGTCTCAAGCTGAGGCAGGGCCTCCACGTGGCCCCATGCTCACGTGTCGCGCTCTTCACCGACACCGCCTACTCACGAGGTGAGTTGCGCGAGCACACGCAACCTACCCCATGGGCGGTTCCGCGAATCATGCAGCCTTGCCGTTAACATTTCTAAATCGTCCTTATAATACGGGATTCCATTTTTATAGTTATTATAGTTTTAGAAAATTCGGCCCATTTATGGAATAAGTCATAGGCGATGGGCCTTAACTAGAAGGGGCTCACTTTAGGGCGACCCTCTCAAAGCTGTTTTGACCTACTCTTCCATGCTGACCAGACATCTTGGAAGAGGTGGAAGTATTCTAACTTGACCCCACTATTGAGTAAATGTGGTGTAGCTAGTCATACTGTGGAATGGGGTGGGGGGGCTACATGGTGGGCAGCAGAGGGCATTGCAGCAGAATCCATGGCTGTATTGCACTTTCTATGCTCCCACATCTATGCTGCCTGCCTTCACCAATCCGCACTGATCAATATGGTGCAATCCGATGCATCCCCAAGCATGGCGTGGGGATGCATCGTTCGGCAGTAAATTCAGAAGAAAACTGCACGTGTACATTTAGTAATTAATTCTTACCTGATTAGGAGTAGGTAGAGTTGCCAGTAGCAGTCCTGGAGAGAAGGAGAGGTGGTAATTTACTACATAGCTGTGAACAGCTTTGCCTGTGGCCAATATTTGGTCACCCAACAATAATTGGTCATCCACCAAGCTAGATTGAGATTTAACTCAGCTTAGCTTCCGAAATATGACGAGATTGGGCGCATTCCGGTTGGTTTCATCACAGGATAATTACACATTACCATGCAAAAATTATTACGCTAACCTGCATACCAGACGATAGTGGTGCATGCCTGTAATCCAGAACTGTAGAGGAAAAGGTTAATGGACCGAGCAAATACTGCGAAACTCTTTCGCTGTGGCCATCAAAGAGGTGTCATACCCTGGTTTGCCAGGAGAAGGTAGTACAGCAAATATTTGGACTCTACCTGTACCATCTGTATGGGATGGAGTGTTTCACCCTCGCACATATGGGTTTTATCCGGGAGCTATGGTTTCCTGCCACGTGTAAACACTCATTAATTGGGCGAAAATACCTTCTTCTATAGAGGACCGCAGAGCTTGGGCAATTGTTGGCACCGGCTCATCTCATGGTTGCTGCCTACCTGCTTCTCTGTGGTTCCTTATGCCACTGAGTTGTTCTCTCGGTATGAGAGCGAGCGAATACTGTGCGGCTCATTTGCAAGTTGAAATTATTATCGGAACTAATCTCTTCCTCGATTTTTGTCGGATGTCTGATGGACACCAGTGGCGACACAAGGCGACACCAAACCAACTGCCTCCGGCCGTGGCTTCCGCAACCTCCCTTAAGGGTTCTCAAGGAAGCGCCATCATCACGCAGAGGCTGGCGACTGCATGTGTGTGTAAACCGGCGTGTTTACGGCCGTGACGGGGTTATGCGTGCCGCATTCCAGCCGGTGCAGAGCAAGGTGGCATGGTCAGTGTGTTTCACTGAAAGGTCTCTCCGTACAAACTAGAGGGCAGCCTGTCCTTACGGATGAGGTGATGGTGACACTCGCTTGACATTCAGTCTCAACCCACTCGACCCTGACTCACCACTTTTATTCAATATAGTGGGATGCCTGTTGAGATTGGATAGCTCCTCCTGCCCCAGCACCCACCCCTCCCAAATGGCACGTCTGTTGTACGGTATGATAGCCATGTGCTTATCTGCTGTACCTTTTGCGAATGCAAATTGGACATCAGGTAAGCAACGTCGGGTGCCTATGAGCCTAATTGTTAGGTGAAAGGTATTTTTTTAGGTAATTTCGACATTGGACCAACATTGGTCCAATGTTCCATGTTCACTAGCATCTGATGGTTTAAAGAGAAGCAACTCAAATTAGAAAATCGTTGTACCACCCAGTGTATGGGGAGATAGTTAAAATCTCGCCTGGTATACAGGATGTCGTGGGTTCGATCCCAACCCTGACACATATAAATTTGGAGTTTGAATGTTCTCCCCATGTTCATGAGGATTTTTCTCCGGGTCCTTCGGTTTTTCATTCCACATTTAGAAACAGGCGTTTAGAGTATTTGGCTGCTATAAATTTCCACACGAGAAGAGGCCGCTTCGTTAAGCTATCATTTGTGACCAGGTCGCTTCTGAAAAAGAGCTACATAGCTCAGTAGGCCTTACCTGGTAAACTAAAATGGCTTATTTTAGTGTGTGCAGTTTTATTGACTGAGCTACATCTGCTGTTAAGGATTCTTTACCAATGTTTTTTTCCTTTCTGAGCACCTGGCTTATTTGTTTTGTATATGCCACGTGCTGCCAATTTATGCCTTTGAAATATCTGCTTTAAGCCTTGAGGCTACATTAAAGTCAAAGTTAATGGAAATAGTATGTTTATCCAGGGAAGCTAAAACTCAGTCTCAGGACTTTGTCAAGAACCTCTATCCAATGAGAATCACCATCGACTAATAAATACAAGTAAAACATGAACGATTGTACAGTAATACATCTTCAGCTTCATAACTTCCAATCTCCAAGGCATCCGAAAAATAAAAAAAACCCCCACTATGTTGAAAGGGCACCCGCGTGTATACTGTGTATACAACAACTCCCTGATGTAGCTACTAGCTTTAATAAATTCGAGGTCTAGTTTTTAGTTTGCCCTACAGGGAAACGCTCGTACTTTGATTCACAGCAATACTGCACGGGTATGTTCTTCTTTTTCCTCCATCAGCTCGGTTTGAGGCATGTGACTGGTCATGCCATAGACTAGAGCAGAAGTGTTTACTCGCTGTATTATTGTTTTGAAATAAAATAAAAACGTTTCAAAATCAAAAGTCTACAAGTTTTGACTTTTTTTTTTATTCCACAGCTATTTGAGTATTTGTGATGTTTTCCTGATTCCGTGTAGCAAGCACATTACACAGGAAGGGAAGCTTTATAGGGGTTGCATATACAATAAAAGCAGGGGAATTTCATACACATGACCATTCGGAAAGAAATCATAATTAACGGGGTTTTTATTGGCATATTAAATTACCTATTAGTATCTTTTGAGTGATAGACAACGGTATTCCTACATAAACTCATTGATTCTGAAAAATTATTTCGTATAGCTGATGTGGATGCAGAGCAACAACTCCAATTTCACATCCAGGTGGTCAAGCCAGATAGCTGCATCAGGAGCAGTGGAGTGTATCGCCATAATGTCGTATTTATGGATCGGGCATTGCGTTGTTATATGTTGTTATGGTCTGTTCTGGATGAACACAGTTTCAAACCATTGGAGAGGTTTTTTTTTTCCATTTGTGCATCAGGTGAGTTTATTCTTAAAAATAAAATCACATTACCCATAATAGAAATTTTTGGGTTTTATCGCGTAAATATAAATGTGTTGGTAAACCCTCCACCACCTGACACAGCCAATTAGTAAGGTTTGTCACGTAAAGAAAACATGCCAATTCGTTACTAGTCCAGCAACACCGTGACGTTCCGCCTGTAATTACAACAACCAGCCTCATCAGGCGACAGCCAGAGTTGTGGAGAAATATCCTCATTCATAATCATAATCAACGTTTTTGGGTTTAGATCGCGTTATTTATAAATGTGTCGTAACCCTCCACCACCCGACACGGCCAATCAGTAAAAAAGTGTCACGTTGACAAAAGACAAATAGTTCACTGCTCTAGCCCCACACCGGTGTGTTGAAGCGTGAAACCACAACATTTACAATTTGAGTAGCACGACGTTTCGCTGGTAATTGCATCCAGCATCATCGGGCAATTCGCCAGAATGGTGAGGCTCTGCTCTGTCTTCCGTTCTTACATATAAAAATCCTCATGTTTCGCGATCTCACCCCAAAAAACCCCTTTTATAGATAATATTGGTCACAAAAGCCCACAGGTGGAAGTTTTGGTCGATTGGTGACCGCCAGGAACGCTCTTCCATGATATATCGGAGGGATCTCTCAGTCTGTGGACATTTTAAAATGCGCCTTAAAATCTATTCATACGCTTCCGCTTATTAAACTTTTTTGAGTTCGTTTAGCAAATTATTCTTAAAATGTATTTATAGTTTTGATTTAAAGCGTTCGTGACTGCAGGGATTCATATTCTTGGTTCTTTCGGTAAAGTCACGTAGAAGGGAAATAATAAAATAAAACAATAAAATTTATACAAATATAAAACAAAAAATATTGTTTTATATTTGCATTATTAAATTTTTTATATTAAGTTCACTTGCTTGCGCGCTTACGACCGTGCAAATCTTTCAGTCGTTTTTTAACCCACTTCCTGTGATCCAATCGAGCTGACATTTTGCACACAGACTCGTTGTGCGTGACAATTTATTTTCGTGAAAATTTTTTCCGTAACTTTACACTTTTTAGGAATTTTTTTAAATATTTAATTACCAATTGCTTAATGGTGGCAGGCAATCATCTGACCCATAGGTGGCAGCCATCTCAAGCCAGAGGACGAGAGGACTCTAGCCGCCACGCATATAAAGGATTTATAGTGAAAAACTTAGTTTTTACGGGTTAATTTTTTTATTATTTCCCTTCTACGTGACTTTACCGAAAGATCCAAGAAAATTGATTTATAGTATTATATTTATGCCGAGTGTCTGCTGCTACTGTTGTCCTGTACAGCGCTTTGAGATCCTTGATGAAAACCAGCTATTATAAATGGAATTACTATTATTATGACTAACCACTGAATAGGATGGTGTTCAACTCAAATCACCGTTTGCTCGGCGGCGCGATGACGTCACTCCGGCGCGGTGACGTCACTCCGGCACGGCGGACTTTTCTCGGTTGCGTGGTGACGTCAACGCGCTGGAGGTTGGGCGGGAGGGGTCGATGACGTCATTGCCCACGTCCGGCCCCCCGCCCCCCTCCCGCAGTTGGCACAAAAAAGATGGTGGCTGCAAGTGGGGACTCGACGGAGCTCGGTTCGGTGCGCCACTGAGAAGAAGGAAAATAAAACCTCGGACGAAGTCTTCACCTCTCCACCACCACCAACCAACCAAATCACCCTCCTCCAACCTCGTTCGCGCCGCGACTGAAGGAGCGAACTTAAATGCCCGATGCAGTAAAGAGGAGAGCAGCGCGCGTCGTTTACAGAGGCGGCTCGGAGGATCGCAAAGGTGGGCCGCCCTCTCGCGTGTGTGCGGCTGTTGTTGTCTTCTTGTGTGGAAGGTGGTGGTGGTGGTGGTGATGGTGGCCGTGGCTGGTGACCGTGGTGGTGGTGGCCGTGGCTGGTGACCGTGGTGGTGGTGGTGGCCGTGGTGGTGGTGGTGGTGGTGGCCGTGGTGGTGGTGGTGGCCGTGGCTGGTGACCGTGGTGGTGGCTGGTGGCCGTGGTGGTGGTGGTAACCGTGGTGGTGGTGGTGGTGGTCGTGGTGGTGGTGACGGTGGTGGTAACCGTGGTGGTGGTGGTGGTGGTCGTGGTGGTGGTGGTGGTGGTGGTCGTGGTGGTGGTGGTGGCGCCTCACGCTCAGGCCTGGTGTGTGTCGCATGAGTCTCTCCCCCCCTCATCCCCACGTTTTAATAATTGCTCGTCTCTCTTAACAGTTACTAACAGTACCAATGTTGACGGTGTACCGCTTTACACGCGTGCTGATGATGTCTCCTTAATGATGATGATTATATACGACTGGCGAATTGCCCGATGATGCTGGATGCAATTACCAGCGAAACGTCGTACAACTCAAAAAATTGTAAATGTTGTGGTTTCACGCTTCAACACACCGGTGGGCTAAAGCAGTGAACTATTTTGTCTTTTGTCAACGTGACACTTTTTTTCTGATTGGCCGTGTCGGGTGGTGGAGGGTTACAACACTTATAAATAACGCGATCTAATTCAAAAACGTTGATTATGAACGCGCTGTTATTACAGCGGTGGTCGGTACCAACCCAAGATCCACACTGCCTCTTAAATTGTATCGCTACGAATAATTGTGCTACTAATGTTATTAATTCGCCTGTGCAGTGGTAATTGTACCGCAGCAAATGGTACTTCACATTGTTATTACTGGTAGTGGGACCACCACTCCCTTTCAGCACCATCAGCCCCCTTTTGCTCTCACTGCTAATTGCATTAATAATACTAATACCGCACTTAATATTAATACAGCTATTTACAATATTACCATTACACAATTACTATCTATGCCACCACTACCTACTACTACCAGCACCACCACAACACGACCATTATTACCGCATACATCATATCTGATGATCAGCATACATTGTACATCATCACTAATGTACACCATTTCCGTGATTGCCATCGTCACATCTAACATTCAGTATTATTACAATACTACTACATGCCACGACTGAACCTATACAATGATACAGGAACAGTTAATTTGTCACTACACTGCTTGATATTCTCCCCCACACCATGCGGTTTGTGGGGGGCTCTATCTAAAAAATAACGTGCAGTCCTTGCACCGTTCAATTGTTCTCATGCAGGTGAAGGGGGCCCATGTATATAGAGACATCATTGTCTCTGTATGGAACGGCCTATCCCTATCACGCCTCGCGTCCACTTTGCTGGGTTTTATAACCAAATAACCCTCGCTGCGCCCAAGTCTCATCGGATATCAGAAGTGTGTTCTTGGGATGGCATGGATGACCACCAGGGCTTGCCAGGTGTTGTAGGCGTAATGCTGCGAGGTGGCCGGAGGATATTGCGGTGCTCAATCACAGCCCCCTTTCGTGTGTGTAGTGCGTTTTCCTCTGGTTTCTGCGGTTTAACCCCACGAAGCCAAACGCCGATTGTGTGGGCTACGCATCCCAATGCAGTAGGACCCTCCTGAAAAAAAAAGCTTGCGCAGGGCTTTCTTTGGTAAATAATTGACATTCTTTCTAATTTGGTCCACGGACACCATACTTGAAGGTTTAGAAATATGTACTGTGTAACTATTTACTATTAAGGGGGGAAACATGGCAAAATGAACTGCGCAATGATTAGTATAACTGTCGTGGGTTTCGTCATCGGTAGCTATAATCAATCCACTTCTGGATGAATGCCTCCCCACGCCGTCACCATCTAGCATGGTCCTGCAATGTAACATTCCACCTTGCACCTGTACACGAGTTTATTTCATTGCCCCATTTCCACGGGGGATGTCCTTTCAAGCACGTTTCCTCCCTGAGCTGCCTCTCCACTGGTTTTTAAAGCAGTAGTATTTCACACCACATCTCAACATTGTCTTACATTGCCTGTCATATCCATATGCGATTTACCTGACAGCAGGTGTCGGTGGAGGTCTTTGCTCGTTAAACACTTATTGTGTACGAACAGCGTTGGTCTAGTGGACAGTGACTGCCATTATAAGGCGGAATTTCTACAATAGAGACATTGAGTTTTAATCAGAATAGTGATAATAACGCCCTAATTTATCTGGGAAAGTTTTACGAAGACCTCAAAGATGGTTTTGGAAAATGTCCTGCATTGGGATGTATGTTTATGGTAGTTGGTATTCAGAAACAAATCGGAGTAGCTATGGAAAAAAAACACATACGTATGCAAAGGGATAACACTCACATCTCCAACAGATTCAAGGATCCAATTTTCTGCTGCCATCTCTCTGCCATCTCACAATAGTCTTATCATTGTTGGAAAATATAATCAACACCTATTTAATTATCTTGATTCCTGGTTTACTGTTAAGACGCAAGTGAAAACAATCGCAATGTATTCCCTGACATGAGTAGATTGACTTGTCATTTTACAAACATGAATTATTTACCTTAAACAACCACGACTGTATTACAGTAGCATCCGACATATAACTGTACCAGTACTGTAATTTAATGGAATACGTCAAATACAGCTTATTTCTGTTCAGAACGCATTCCCTGCTTGATAAATACATTTTATGACAATATGAAGGGCAAATAAACATTGTAAATCTTTTTTACGAGGAGGATACGTTTTTTTGGAAGGACGTAAACATTTGTATTCCAAGCAATCTTCCAATCAATTCTTAATCTTCCAAATGGCACTCGAGGGTGGAGCAGTAATGTGGAGGTTGTCTTGCTGTACTATATACAGTACCAAGCGACCTAATCTTGATTCATAGCCACTGCTAACAACCGTAGCATTTGATATATTTCGCAGTTCTTGCCTCTCTCCCCCCCTCTCCCTTCACCAATCCTCACTGACCAGCGTGGTGAAGTAGATAGATAGATAGATCGTTTATTGTCATTGTCACCAGTACAACGAAATTTAAAATGCTCACCAGTCAGGGCATCATTCATAAATTTAAATTAAATAAAACAAGAAAATAAAAATAAAATTAAATGAAAGATAATCAATTTATACTATATATAAAAACAGCCCAAGTATACCCACATACCCACATAAGGTTACATTTTGTCATTGCACATCTCTATTTCACAATCAATTGTAAACACTATTACTTAATAATTAATTAGCATTATTGAGTGTGGTGATCGCTGTAGGATAAAAGCTCTGTTTGAATCTGTTTGTCCTTGTTTTGACTGATCTGAATCGTCTGCCTGATGGCAACAGCTCAAACAGTGAGTGTCCAGGGTGAGAAGAGTCCTTTATACTGGTAGGAACGAAGTGGACCAGACCACCAATAGATTAATGTGTCCGTCCGTCTGTCCGTGGGAGGGGTGGTGTTGAGGGTGGTGTTGGAAATGAAAGACTACGAGTCTTTAAATCTCACAGCGTTTCTTGTCAAAACAAACACTTTTAATTAACGTTACACTAGAATACAGTAATTTTTTCTTTAACTCCTCTATACCCGGTCGATATCTCTGTACCGGTACTAAGTATTATTCCTACCAGTCCACCCCGCAGGGTCCTGTTAATGTTCTGTGCTTTTTTGATGCAACGTGAACTGTGTAGTTCTTCCAGTGTGGGGAGATGGCAGCCGGCGATCTTTTGGGCTGTGTTGATGACCCTCTGGAGCGCTTTCCTCTGAGCCACTGTGCAGCTGGTGTACCATACACAGATGCAGTATGTAAGAATGCTCTCGATGGAGGCTCGGTAGAAGGACACCAGCAGTTTCTGTGTGATGTTATTATTCCTGAGAATTCTCAGGAAGTAAAGTCTCTGCTGGGCCTTTTTCAGAAGCTCAGTGCTGTTGGCGCTCCAGGTCAGGCCCTCCCCAATGTGGACTCCCAGGAAGCAGAAGTCTGCCACCCTCTCCACACAGTCCCCGCTGATGATTAGTGGTGGAGTGTCCGTTTTCTTTCTCCTGTAGTCTATTATGAGCTCCTTGGTCTTTGCGGTGTTAAGGAGCAGGTTGTTGCCCCTGCAGTATGCTGTCAGCCGCTCCACCTCGTCCCTGTAGGCAGACTCATCCCCCCCAGAGATGAGCCCCACCACTGTGGTGTCATCGGCGAACTTCACAATGGTGTTGCTATGGTGGACGGCGGCACAGTCATGTGTGTAGAGGGAGTAGAGCAGGGGGCTCAGTACACAGCCCTGGGGGGAGCCAGTACTGAGGCTCAGGGCTGTGGATGTATGACGGCCCACTCTGACCCTCTGTCTGCGGCCCGAGAGGAAACTATATATCCACATGCAGGTGGAATGTGGAATCCCCAGGTCGCCCAGTTTTTCCACCAGTTTGTGTGGGAGGATGGTGTTGAACGCAGAACTGTAATCCACGAAGAGCATCCGCACATAGCTCCCCTGCTGCTCCAGGTGTGACAGTGCAGCATGTAGTGCTGTGACCACGGCGTCCTCCGTGGATCGGTTTGCTCTGTAGGCAAACTGGTGGGGGTCAAGGTTTCGGGGCAAGCTTCCTATGATGTGACTCCGGACCAGTTTTTCAAAGCACTTCATCACCACTGGCGTGAGTGCTACTGGCCGGTAGTCGTTGTAGCTGTAAATGTGGGTTTTTTTGGGCAGCGGGACTATGGTGGAGGACTTTAGGCAGGTTGGTACGGTGGACTGTTCCAGAGACAGGTTGAAAATCCTTGTGAAGACTCCAGCCAGCTCGTCAGCACAGTCCCTCAGCACACGTCCCGGGACGCCATCAGGTCCCGCAGCCTTCCTCGGGTTGACGGCCCGCAGCGTGCGCCTCACCTCATACTCCTCTACTGTGAGGTTTAAGCTGCTGTGGACCGTGAGGTTTGGTGATGCTGTCCCTTGTGGT